GTGAGCTGGCTGTGCCCACAGGGGAATTGGTTTCATATGGTTCACACTTATGAGCTGGCTGTGCCCACAGGGGGATTGGTTTCGTGTGTTTCATGCCTGTGCAGCTAGGTTGGCCTGTTGTTTGAAGCAATTGATGTAATCAGAGAAAACAAGAAGCATTTTCTGCCTGAAAACATGAAAAAACACAATGATATCATAAAAGAATTTAATGTAGGTGCTGAAGAGATGGCTCAGCAATTAGGAGTGCCTGTTGCTCTTGCAAAGGCCCTGGGTTCAATGCCCAGTATTTGCGTGGCAGCTCACAACAGACATGCATGTGGTACACATACATACATTAGGACAAAACAGTCATACACGTAAAATGAAAACAAATCACTCACACTTTTAATCCTAGCACTTGGGAGTCAGAGGTAGGCGGATTTCTGAGTTTGAGGCCAGCCTGGTCTACAGAGTGAGTTCCAGGACAGCCATGGTTACACAGAGAAACCTTGTCTTGAATAAAAAAGAAAAAAAAGAAAAAAAAGAATTCTATATAAATTCAGAAACAGGAAAAAAATTACCCCTTATATATGTATATAGCCTTAGAAATCCTTTTATCATGCCCACATTAGGAGGAAATTAATAACCAAAAGTGCCCCCCCCCAAAAAAAAGGAACCTCAGGACTATGATAATGTTCTTGTCTTCATCTGAATACTAGTTACAAAGACAATTTATAAACATTAATATACCTATAGCCGTTTACTTTTCTGTAACATACGCTCTGCACAAACCTGAAAATAGTAATTTTATAATTGGGTTTAGGGATGTAGCTTGGTGATAGAACGCTTGCCTAGCATGAGTGAGGCCCTGTGTTTGAACTCAGCACTGCCCCATGTACACATACTTGGACACAAACAATTTAAATATATTCATACCTACTCTTTCTTCAGAAGCACCCTCACTCTCTTTTCTTGGCAATCTATCTCCTAGAAATGAAACCGTGAGACCTCAGTGGGAAGAGAACTAGCCAGCCTTGAGATGAAATGTGACCTAAAATAAATCTCTGTATCTTTTAAATTGTTTCCCTTGGGTATTTTGTCATAGTGATGGGTGTGATTACATCGGGGAGAAGTAAAACATTCATGTAGAGAATCGCTTATAAACGTCACCTGTCAGTAAAAAAGCCAGTAGCCAATGAGCTGAGATGCTGAGGAGGAAGCAGACTGGGACTGAAGGGAAAGTAGCTAACCACATGGTAGAACAGAGACTAGTTTAAATGGGTTAAATATCTTACGAGCTTGTCAGGGAATGAGCCAAAGCTTATGGCCTAGGCATTTATTAATAAATAAAAAGTCTCAGAGTTGTCGTTCCAGGGGCAGGGAAAGGGAAACTTGGAATTTAAAAAAAATTTTTTTTATTGATCCAATAGTGAGCAGGTAGAAAATCCTAGAATGTAGAAGGCAGGGCAAGAAGGTATAAAACAGGAAGCTACTGGTTTTGTATTGCTACTGAGGATGAAAAGCTTGAGAACTGATGTGCATGGCTGTAGGTAGCTCTTTCCTCTAGGCTTGACAAGATCATCACCATCTTGGTGACCTTGAACCTTGACAGTCATGGTGCCAGAATAAACAACTTCGGCAGGTAGCTAGGTGTGTGGTAAAACAGTGGGCCTTGTTGCAGCTTCCTTGTGGAAGGAGGGGAAGAGTCACAGACCCTCCCAGGAGATGCCAATCGATACTCCCTCTGTTTCAATATGAGATAAAATAATTGACTGGAATGGGGTTTGTCAGAGGTACAGCTGCCTGGGAGTCACTCATGATCTTGTGAGAAACCAGTAAGTATAGTTGTTTTCCAAGCTAGGCTTGACAGGATCTTTCTTTGCTTTATGGACTTCCTCCCTATTTGGGGTGTGTAGATGTTTATTTTACAAAACAAGAGACACTGGTTGCTCTGGCAACCTGGTGGGTGATGATGAGAAAATGAAGAACAGTCCCAGTGAGATGGGTCTGTACTACACTGAGTGAGGAATTGGTGGGACATGAATGAAAATGCACAAAGCAGATCATTGGAAGGCATCCAAAAGCCATAGGGCAGGGGTCCATTTACAAACCAAGGGGCTGGAGATAGACAAGTCTGGAGAAGAGGACAAGGCATTTGGATACCTGGGTGCAGGAGAAAATGGAAGTCCCGAGATGACACTCCATTTGTACATAACACATGAGTGGCCCCAAGACTGAAAGCACCATTCAGCTGGTCCATAACCTGACAAGTTAGGATAACAGCAAACCAATACAAGTGCCCATTCAACAAGGGTGGAAGAAATACCCATACCAAGAAATACAGCCAAAGACCAAACTCCAGATACAGGTCCTACCACAAAAAATGACATGAGTGACCAAGATAAAACATCTCCAAAAATGAGCATTCTCATAGTTTTATTCTCTGAGAAAAGCAACTTAATGATATGCAAAAAGTTATTTTAAAATAACAATTATAAAGATGTCAGAGGATATGAATAGATGCCAAAATAAAGGCTGAAAACACAGTTTAATGAAACAAGGGAGAAGATTTAACATATAAAAATAGAATTAAAATAAAAGAATTTCTGAAGAAAAGCCAGACTAAAAACTCAAAATTAAAAGTTCAGTAAGCCAAATTAAAAAAAAGTGCAATTGAAAGTCTCATACATGGAATGGATCAAGTGAAAGAAGATCAAGGCTTAAAGACAAGGTAGAGGTATTGAATAACCTACTCAAAGAAAATGTGAAATCCATACCCCCCCCCAAGAAAACATGAACAGAACACACAGGAACTCTGAGACACTGTAAAAAAGAAAAACCTACAATTCATAGATAGAAACCCAAGTAAAAGGTACAGACAATATTTTCAACAAAATCATAGAAGAAAAATCCCCAAATCTAAGGAGAGATGGCTATCAAGGTGCAAGAGACATGTATCTCCATCTAATTAGGACCAGAAGAAAAGCTCCCCATGCCTTAATAAAACACTGACCATACAGAATAAGCAACAATAGGATATTGAAAGCTTCAAGAGAGAAATGGACTACCTATAAAAGCAAGCCCATCAGAATAACAACTGACTTTTCAGTGAAGACTTTAAAAACCAGAAGGGCTTGGACTGATTATCTGAGATTTCAGAATGACCACAGATGACAGCCTACACCCAGCGAACGACTACTATACCCAGCAAAACTATCAGTTGCAATATAAAGAGAAAGGAAAAAAAAATCGGTGCTAAAAACAGATTATAGGAATCTATGACCACTAAGCCACCTCTAAAGAGGGCACTGGGACAAACGCTTTGATCTAAAAAGGATGAAAACAAGCAAGAGAACATAGGAACATATAAGCAATTTTAGAACAATCAAAAGTGATTTAAGAAAATGTAACAAAATAAGAGGAATTAATATAGACCTTTGAACAATAACTTAATACTTACCATCTCAAACAATAAAGAGACCCAGATTAGCAGATTGGATTAGAAAGCAAGAACCATCTTTTTACTGCCTCCAAGAAATATATCTTAGGCAAAGGGATGGAAAACCATTCTCCAAGCAAATGGAACTAAGAAACACACTGAGAACCCCTGGAGTCTGCAGCAGGAACCCTGTGGTCCTTGACTTCAGCCTTTATGTCTCTACAACTGAGAAGAATTTTCTGTAGCTTGAGATACCAAGCTGTAGGAAAACAATTGTTTATCCTAAGTGAATTATATACAGCAAGATCTGACTCAGTAAGATTGTGTGTGTGTGTGTGTGTGTGTGTGTGTGCGCGCGCGCGCACGCATGTGCACGTGCGTGCTTGTGCTTGCGTAAGCCAGGGCTCCCTTGGAGGCCATAAAAGGGCACTGAATCCCCGAGCTGGTACTACAGGCAGTTACAAACTATCCAAACAGGGGGCTATGAACTGAACCCCAGCCTTGTGAAAGACCAACCAATCTGTGAACTCTGGTTCAGTTGAGAGACCCTGACTCAATAAAATAAAGAAGAGAATGATTGAAGAACCCCAACTCCAGGTTTCCACGGCACATGTGTACACATACATGCACATGCACCACCCTCAACACAAATACACACTGTAGCTGGTCTTTGCTACTTTGTGGATTCTTCTTTTTCCCACCCTTTATTCCCCTTGGTTTCACCCCGTATCACTAGATAGGAGAGAAAGAAGGAAAGAGGGGAGAGAGAATAAATGGAGATCTTTGAATCTCTATCTTCTTGTTTCTTCTTTGAGCACGACTGCTAACAAACCCCTACGAACCCTTCTGAATGACCAAAGGCCACCAACTGACCTCTCAGGTCATGGGTATTTATATACTGTCTGAAAAATTCCCAGAATTCCAAACAAAACACAGTCACAGAAACTATCTGCACCTGGCAAGACCATGCCTCTGCTGGAGCACGAGGCAAATCATAGTCGGCTGCTGCAAAGCAGCCCCATATCCCCACACCTCGAATTAAAACGAAAACGTTTTTATACTCCATCTGTGGTTTTTTAAAGAAACCAAACTTCCAGAATTTTCACTACATATACTCACACCGATAAACTAAAATATACACATTAGCACGAAACCTTCAGCACCATGAGGAAGGAGTTGCAGGTGCTGGATGTGCAGGAATCCACTCTGGAGAGCCGCTGCTGTAATAAACTCAGAACAGACCAAAGAGTGGGCAAACTGCAGTTGTTTGCTTTGGCTCTGCAGTGCCCTCCACATCCAGAGGGCACGGATGTGGAGTTAAAGCAATGCTGTTGGAAGGACTTAGTTTAGTTTTGTTTGTTTTTTTTCCAAAACTCAAAATTGAAATCATACTTGCTTTTATCAATTGATATCCAGAAAAATTACATCTCCAAGATAATTGTCCCAGGTTCTTTAACCTCTTGAATACAAGGAGAACTGAAGAAAGAAAAAAGGAAACAAAATTATGAAACACTAGTTTATTCTCACCAAGGATTTCTTTTTAGGTTGGTGGAATACAGGAGCACAAGGCACATTTCATTGCAGATACAGGATCAAGTCATCAGCAAAACTTAATTAAAAGTTCAATTGATGGGTAACCTCTGGGACAGATGATCAGCCTGGAAAAGAAAGGCATTTTGCTTAGGAAAAGCAACTGTGTATAAAAATTTACATATGCTAATGAAAATTAGGAATATATTTTAAAACGTGAACAGTGCAAACCATTTATAGATAAAAACATGTAATCCAAAGACTTGGGAAGAATGGCAGAGGGGGCCCAAGTTCAAGGTCAGCGAGGGCTACAGAATGAGACCCTTAAAATATTTTTCAGTAGTACAGTTAAGAGTACATACTAGGGGCTGGAGAGATGGCTCAGCGGTTAAGAGCACTGACTGCTCTTCCAGAGGTCCTGAGTTCAAATCCCAGCAACCACATGGTGGCTCACAACCATCCGTAATGAGATTCGATGCCCTCTTCTGGTGTGTCTGAAGACAGCTACAGTGTACTCATAAATAAAATAAAAAAAAAAAAAAAAAAAAAAGAGTACATACTATCCTTGGGGCTTGAGAGATCTCTCAGTGATTAAAACACTTATTGCCCCAGACCCAGGTTTGAGTGCCAGTATACATATGGAGGCTCATAACCGTAATGCTAGTTGCAGGGGAGTTGACACCTCTCCTGACCTATGTGGGCACCAGGCATGCCTGTGGTGCAGACATACATACATGCAGGGAAAAGAACAAAACAGATCTTAAAATAATTTAAAGAATGCGTGCTGTCCGTATTTGAAAACACAAACAGGACTGCTGAGATGGCTCAGTGGATAAAGCATTTGCTGACAATCCATACACCCTGAATTTGATCCCTGGGACACACATGGAAGGAGAAACCAACTCCTGTAGTTCTTTTATGACCTCCAGCATGTGTCATGGTACTTGAGCACACACACATATAACTGTAATAAGAATACATGCACACATACATGCATAAGTAAACACATGAAGTAGTAACTGATAAGTAAGAGAAATGGCATTAAGTGTACTGAGGAATGCCAAGAAAGGCTTGGGGGGTGAGACTGAGAACTATGGTCGCTCATTCTGCTCACTGATTTCACACTGTAGGAGACGTTTTTTAGTGGCAGCACTCAGCCCAGACAGAGTGCCTTTGACTATGGTCTTCACTTGACTATGGTCTTCACTTACCCTGCAGCCCGCAAAAGACACCACAATTCCCGCCCCCAACTCCCGCTGCCACGCTGCCTGGGACCTGCACAGTGTGCTTTCTCCTACCTAGTTCTTTGCTGATACTCCTGCTCTAGAGGAATACAGTGTTCAGAAAACTCTGACTTCCACATGGAACACTTCTTCACCTCACCCCTTGATGAATCCATAAAACAGAAAGACCAGGGAATCCTTGGCTGGGTATGTGGGAGGGGCCATAGTCCGCCTGCGTGTTTGTGGGAGGGGCCCTGATTGTCTCCATCTGGGTTGTACCATCCAGAAATTTCTACAAAACACGTGTCCTCAAGAATCTTCCAAATCATGAGAACCTAGCCTAGGTCTCAAAAAAAGGGAGCTCAACCTCCATAACAGAGCACTAGCCACCGTCCACGTGCATCACGTCGGCTACAGTAAGACGCTCCAGTGTACTGCGAACCTTTCCGGTTTCTGAACTTGAAGGTATTGAGATTGGGCACGTTACCACCTGTTCACAGAGGGATACGAAACTTTGCAGCCTATCATAAGGAGTCCCTTTCGTCCTCCTGACCATCAGCACCACTTCCCAGCCCGTCTCATCCCTCATTTTAAGGATAAAACAGCGACACAGGGATGTAACATCACTGCCTGATATCCACTGGCTTCTCCGGTCCATCGGTTTTCCTCCGCTGTTCTAGCCCTAGTATCCTGAACACCCAGCTCTTCACCACAGAAACCACATTTGTCTTGAAAAGACAAGCTCAGGGCGCTCCCTCACATCTCTGAAGGATAACTCCGACATGGCCGCGATGAAAGCTTTTTATACTCTCGGTTTCAGTATACAAAGAGTAGACTGAGGAGATGAAATTAATTTAATCTCAGGGCAAAGTCAGAGGACAAGGACAACAGCCACAGTGCACAGTGCAGCTCCAGGTTCTTTCTCACACAATAAAATTTCATTTATTTTGAAAATCATCAAGAATTTTGCAAAGAAGTCACTTCCCGTTTTTTCTGATCTAAATACATGTGGTAGCTTTACGTTTTAAGCTATGTGCGGACATTAGAAATACTTAAGAAGGTGACATTATAATTCTAGGGCTAGGGGTGGGGCTCAGTGCCAGAGCTCTTTCCTAGCAAATATGAGGCTAGGAACAGTGAAAATGAACAAATTCAATTATTACTGTAGAAGTCATTTGTCTTATATAAGTGCTGTGACTTCAGCACTGTGGCGTTTCGCCCTGTAACTGAGAAGGCGCTCTCTACAAACTCCAGTAACTTACCAACAACTGTCACCTGAACGATCCTCTTGGCAGTACCAAGGGCGTGGGCTACTCCACACTGATAGGTGCCAGCATCAGAGAGCTGAACATTAGCTATATTTATAGATGCATCACCAGACCTGACGTCATTACTTGTGAATTGCACACGTTCTTTCATATCTTGATAGAAGTCCTTGTAAATCTTGTCTGCTAAATATACAATAAACTAAAATAAAAAAAGCAGAAAATACATAAACAAACATGGGCTGAAGAAGTGGCTCTGTGGTTAGAAGCTGTAACTCTCATCAGGGGACCCAAGATCAGGCCTTAGCACCCACAACGGTCTGTAACGTTCAGATCCATGGGATTCAGTACACTCTTTTGGCTTCCACAGACACTAGACACACATGTAGTGCACAGATGTACACACAGGCAAAAGACTCAAATGTAATAAAAAATCTAAAAAAAAATCTTTCATTAAAGCTGTACACACATCATGTTACCACAAATGTAAAAAAAGAAAAAGAAATAGAAATGAAAGAGAAAGCAAAGACAGCTATCGAGCTGGCTCAGGTAACACAGTGTCTGACAGACAAGCACAAAGACCCGAGTTAGGACCCAAGAGCCGATGTAAGAGCCAGACATGATTTCACACTTCTGTAAGCCAACCACTAGAGTAAGGGGTGGGGGGGCAACTCTAGGCACTTGCTGGCCAGTCAGTCTAGCCATCAGTGGCCCCAGTTTCAGTGAGAGACCATATCTCAAAACATGTGATGGAGAGAGAGAGAGAGAGAGAGAGAGAGAGAGAGAGAGAGGATGACACCTAGCCTCAACCTCTAGTTTCTACACCCATGCCCACGAACACACACATGCGTCTGCCCACGTGCACACTGCGTTATATATACAGAAAGAAAGAAAGAAAGAGAGAGAGAGAGAGAGAGAGAGAGAGAGAGAGAGAGAGAGAGGAAGATGTTATATGGAAACCTACAATAAAGACACAGAATGATGAGCTGGAAATGGGTCCATGTGGTCCTGGGCTGTAGTCCCATACCTCTATTTTTATTACTGTTTTTAAGTTTTGTTGTTGTTTTATTGTTTTAAATTATATTTAGACTGGGCCAGGTGTGATGGCGCTCACCTTAACTCCAGCACTCAGAGGCTGGAAAGAGTGCCGGGCCACCTGAAATCAAAATTACAGACAGTTGAGAGCAGCCATACCGCTGCTGGGAACCGAAACCAGGTCCTCTGGGAAAGCAGCCAGTGCTCTTAAGTGCTGAGCCAAATCTTTGGCCTCCATGCTCCCATTATGAATGGACAGCCAGTTTTCAGTGTGATTCAATAACTCCCAACATAATTAAATACCATAGCCCCATCCTAGAGAGGGGTCGGTCAGACAGGACAGGCTCACACACTTGCTCATTCATGGATGCTCCTGTTTCCCAGCCACCTCAGAGGGTACAGTAACAAATCAAGTAAAAACAAGAACAGACCACCCTTTGTCCCAAAATAAGGCTGATTATGATTTACCTGTTTAATCTAAGGGGAAAAAAAAAGACAAATTCCTTTTAGAAGCAAGGCTTGATGGGATATCCCTATAGTTCCAGTAATGAGGGAAGCTGAAACTTGGTCATGACAAATACACAGGACATAGAGCACACACGCCACACACACCCCCTCACTGCCCAGCCTGCTCAGCCCACCCCTCTTGTTCCTTGTCTCCTGCTACACACTTTCAAGACCACATCTTCCAAACATCCACAGCATCCTCTTGTCCTCCGAAACCTTGAAGACATCTGATGACCCTTCCTCTTCTGAAATCACAGGTCATTCTATCCATGTTCACAGACCTGGGCAGTGGGGCTTCTAGACATGACACCACACCTGCCTAGTGAGAGTAAGCAGGCGTAGTGCACACTCACCATACGGTTCACCACCTCATTTTGAGGTCCAGTAAGCTGCATCCAGTCAATGAACACTGGTCCACGGTCCTCAGGGCTAAGGGTGAACATGCAGGGCAGATGGATAGTTTCCCCTCGGGCTTCCTGAACTGTCTGCTCTGGTGTAGTGATGCTCACACTTCCAATGAGATCTAGAGAGAGAGGGAGACGTGTATGACACTGAACATCTATCTGCTGTCACTCACTGGCTGGCTCCAGGCTGAAGCCACTCAGGAGACAGGATGGGAAGATGTGGGTGAGGCCTGGACCTAGAAGGATGCAGATCCCACCCGGGGATGCCCACGTTAGTTTGTGGCTTCATGAAGTGGGTGACTATGAGCATTTCCTCATCCTAAATGATTGCTTTAGAGAACCATCACCTTCCTGGCATTCTGCAGGCATGAGTTCCACCAGGGAGCTCTTGCTCTTCCCAGCAGGCACACACAAGGGAACTTAGCTAGAGCTCTGGGAGTGTTGTCTGCAAATGCAAGGCCAGCCTGATCCGTGCTAGCCACAGGACCACAGACTCCTTGCACTGTACACAGAGGCTAGAAGAAGGTATACACCCCTGGGATTGGATCACAGGCAACTGTGAGCAGCCATGTGGATGCGGGGACTCAAACTCTGGTCCTCTGGTAGACTAGCCAGTGTTCTTAACCATCACAACTGAGCCGTAGCTCTAGTCAGAACACATTTTTTAAAGGCTTTCCACTTATATCACACTTAAGAATAATGTTGATGGTTCTTTTCAGTTTTGTTTCCTTTGATGTACAATAATCTGGGAGCTAAGCAAGTAGTAATTCCCACAAGGGTCGAACTGAAGCCATGGGTGAAGATCAGGCAAGCTGATAAGCTGGTGATCTGAGTTTGATCACCGTGGAAGGAAAATGTCAACTCCCGAAAGTTGTCTTCTGATGTCCACCTGCAGGCTGTGGTGCCTGCACACACACATGCACACACACACACATACACATATGCATGCACGCACACACATACACATGCACACACACATGCATGCACACACACATGCATGCACACATACATATGCTAATTCTCACATGCACACTCCTCAATTTCCAGCCTCCTAACTCCCCAGCTCCTCACTGTATAAAATTAAGTGCAGGAAAAACAAAAATTCAGAGCTCTCACTCACAGCTTTGAAGGGTCGACTGACAGGTACAGTGACAAATACAGTTCTCTATACTCCATGTTTTAACACACACAGAGTAAACTGAGACCTAAGGAAATGAAATGCATTTAATTCTCATGGAAAACTCCGAAGATGGTTCAGAACAACAGCAGCAACAACACAGCCCTCCTGAGTCCTGGCTCAGGGTTCTACCTTGCACAACCAAACTCATGCCCATGCCAGCCATCAGAGGAATGTGCAGAGCCATGTACCTCCCACAGGCCTCCTGGCTGCATACCCAGCCTCTCGGGACTCCTATTCCAACCTTCTGTTGACCAGATCTTACTAATTGTGGAGCTAGACCTGGAGAGCTACAACAAAGGTAGCAGAGAGGAGAAGCAGCATTGGGGGTGTGGGCCTTCAGTCGTGTCTGCTCACACAGACAGGAGCAGGTCTGGAAAGAGTAGGCAGAAGCTGTAGTCCTTGGTACAAGCTCCACAAAAGACAACAAGGTTTCCATCCTTTTACAACTCAATCCTCTCCTGAACATTGCATACTCCTATACTGAACAAGGGAAGGTGATCTGAGAACGAAGGGGGTGGGGGTAGGTAACAAACTACTTCTGGTGCAACAGAACCAAAAGTCACGTGAAATACAAGCGTCATGTCCCCCAGCCCCAATTACTAATCCCATTATAAGAACTCCAATCAGAACAAACTACAAGGTCTTCCAGACAAAACATTCTAAAGAATGGTTACAGCTGTGTTCAAACAACTTAAAAAAGACATGCTTGCAGAAAGCCTGCATGCGGTCAAGCCAGCCAAAGTCCCAGGCTGGAGACTTAGAAGGTAGAATGTCTGAGGAGCTGTTGGAGTAATTCATGGCTTCTGAGGGGAGAGAGACTTTTTTCCTCGGGGACAGAGGCTCTGAGAGGCTACCCTACTCCAGTAGATGAGCCTCAACTCACACACAGAAGGCAGCACTGAGTAGGGGAGGGGGAGGGACAAAGAGATGGAGAAGGAAAAGGAGAGGAAACTGGGGTAGATTTGATTAAAAAAAAATACATTATATACATTTATGAAATTCTTGAACAAAAATCTCTTCACTTGTTTTTACATTTTTTCGTGAATTTTAAGTTTGTCATGGTGTTGCATGCCTTTAACTCCAGCACTTGAGAGGCAAATGCAGGCATATCTCTGTGAATTTCAGGCCATAGTGGTTTACACAGAAAGATCCAGGCCATCCAAAAATGCAAAGTGGGACTCTGTCTTAAAAACAAGTGACTGGAGCAGTGGCTCAAGCATTGGCCGCTCTTCTGGAGGACCGGGGTTCCATTCCCAGCACCCACATGGTGGCTTACAACCATCTGTAACTCCAGTTCCAGGGGATCCATCACCCTCTTTTGGCTTCCAGACATACATGCAGACAAACACTCATATGCATAAAGTAAAATGAAAAGAATGAGAACAGAAACAAGATGAAGCAACACAGTGATATGTGTTTTCTTTTGAAAAAGAAAAAGGGGCTGGAAAGATGGCTCAGCGGTTAAGAGCACTGACTGCTCTTCCAGAGGTCCTGAGTTCAAATCCCAGCAACCACATGGTGGCTCACAACCATCCGTAATGAGATTGGATGCCCTCTTCTGGTGTGTCTGAAGACAGCTACAGTGTACTCATAAATAAAATAAAATTTAAAAAACAAAAAAGCAAAAAAAAAGAAAAAGAAAAAAAGAAAGTCCACTTTGTTTTACACAGTGTGAAGATGTTAGAAATACCCGCAAAGTTTAAAATTATTATTCTACAACTAGGCATGTGGCAGAACCTTTCCTAGTAAGCACAAGCCCTGGGCTTCACCCCTACCAAAAAAATGAATATAACTATTACTCTAGAATTGAAGTTTTGTCTTATAAATCATTATGACTTGTACTGTGAGCATTTACCCTGATTCTAAGACACTCATCACCACCAACAGAAACTTACTAGTGACAGCCAGCTGGAGGTTCCTGTTGACGATGCCAGGGTATGTTTTCACCTTGCACTGATAGGTGCCAGCATCCGAGAGCTGGACATTTGTTATATTTATGGATGCATCACCAGATCTGATATCATTACCAGTAAAATACACTCGTCCTTTTAGATCTGGATAGACGTCATCATGAGTTTTGTCTGCAGAATATAAAATAACCTAAAAGAAAAAAAAGAAGAAGAAAAAAAACCTAACTAAACCAAAACCAAACATGGGCTGTACTCGTGGTGCATGTCTATGGTTACCTGCTGTGGTGTTCTGAATAGGAATGCCCCCCATAGACTCATGTGTGTGAATGCTTGTCCCATAGAGGGTGACACTCTTAGGAGGTCTGGCCTCTCTGGGAAAAGTGTGTCACAGTGGAGGTGGGCTTTGAGGTCTCCTAAGTTCAAGCTATGCCCAGTGTGGTACACAGTTTCTTTCTGCTGCTTGCGGATCAAGATGTCAGACTCTCAGCTCCTTCTCCTGCATCATGTCTGCCTGCCTGTTACCATGTTTCTTACCATGACAATAAGACTCACCCTTTGAAACTGTAACCCAGATCCATTAAATGGTTTCCTTTATAAGAGTGGCTGTGGTTAAAGTTGTGTCTTCACAATGATTAAACCCTAAGACCCTTGCCTGTGAGGGCGCTGAGGACAGAAAAGGGTGCTGTGTGACTTGCTCTATAATCTTTACCTTATTCCTTTGAGACTGGGTCTCTCACTGAACTTGGACCTGGCCTACCAGCCAAAATGGCCTGGTCATGCTCCTGCCTCTGCCTTTCCCAAGGTTGGAGCTAGTAGCATGAATTACCACACACAACTGTTTATGTCCAGGCTAGGGATTTCATTAAAGTTCCTTGTGCATGAACCCTTCCCCACTGAGCCATCTCTCCAGCCCAGTGTCGATGACTTAGATAAGATGTGTCAGATGGAACTAATACATAACCTTTGAGGTAAAGCAAAAAAAATAGAAGGACCGTCTAAAAGACAAGTGTGTCACAGGTAAGGGAGACCGGCTCTCTGGGTGTGGCTCACGCTCAGAGCTATCTTTGACTTTCAAGTGTTCTTCATTGGGCTCTGTTCACTTTTATTAGAAAAACTAATATAACTTTATTTTACCTGATTTCTATAATTTAACACTGATATTTTACAGGCTTTAAATTTTTGCTTGTTTGTTGTTTGTTTGTTATGGGGCCTTACTATGCAGTTCAGGCTGCCCTGGAACTTGCTATGTAGCCCACACTGGCCTTTGACTCTCCTCTTAATCCTCCTGCCTCACCGCACCTATGTGGAGAAGGTCTACAGGCATGTGCCAGCATGCTCAGCTTTTGTTTTGTTTCTAAGAAATGTATTGTATGGGAGATTTAACTTGAAATGAAGAAAACAGACTGATGACGCTCGCCATTCTCTGTACGCTGAGCTCTCTTCTGCTGGCTAAAGGAGCCTAGCGTATGTTTTAAAATATATCATGGTCAGGTGCAGTGGCATGCACTAGTAGATTAGCGGCTGGATAGCGGGGAGGCTGAGATACAGGAGGGTTATTGGGCCCTGGACTTTGAGACCAGATTGGACAGCATAGTGAAATGAAAGGAGACAAAAGTAACGAAGACAGAGGACACTGATTCTGAGTTCTAACAGAGTCTAGTGACTCTGGAGTGCACACAGTACACATCACCCTCGCTGCCCAGCCTGCTCAGCCCACCCCTTTTGTTCCTTGTCTCCTCTTACACACTTTCAAGACCACATTTTCAGAATGTCCACAACATCCTCTTGTCCTCTGAAACCTTCAAGACAACTGATGGCCCATCCTCTTCTGAAGTTGCAAGTCATTCTATCCATGTTCACAGGTCTGGGCAGTGGGATTTCTGGCCACGACACCACACCTGCCTAATGAGAGTGAGCAGGCACAGGGCACACTCACCACACTGTCTATCGCCTCATTATTAGGTCCTGAAAGCCGAAGCCACTCGATGTCTAGCAGGCCTTGGTCCTTGGAGATGAAGGTAAACATGCAGGGTAGATGGACAGTTTCCCCTCGGGCTTCCTGAACTGTCTGCTCTGGAGTAGTGATGCTCACACTCCCAATGAGATCTGGATGGAGAGAGGGAGAGAGGGAGGGAGGGAGGGAGGGAGAGAGAGAGCATTGAACATCTATCTGCTGTCACTCACTGGCTGGCTCCAGGCTGGAGCCACTCAGGAGACAAGATGGGGAGATGAGGGTGAGGCCTGGACCTAGAAGGATGCAGATCCCACCCGGGGATGCCCACGTTAGTTTGTGGCTTCATGAAGTGGGTGACTATGAGCATTTCTTCATCCTAAATGATTGCTTTAGAGAACCATCACCTTCCTGGCATTCTGCAGGCATGAGTTCCACCAGGAAGCTCTTGCTCTTCCCAACAGGCACAGAGCTAGGTCTTTGGAGATCAGTGCTGTGTACAAATGCCAACCTCATTCATGCTAGTCACAGGACTATAGATTACATTATAATCCTAGGGCTAGGTAGGGGTGGGGCTCAGGGGCAGAGCTCTTTCCTAGCAAGCATGAGTCCCAGGTTTCACTTCTAGCATATTGAAAATGAACAAATTCAACTATTACTGTAAAAGCCACGTTTGTCTTCTGTAAGTGTTGTGACTTCAGCATTGTGACCTTTCACCCTGTTACTGAGAAGCTGCTTTCAACCAACTACAACAACTTACCAACAACTGTCAGCTGAATGGTTGTCTTGGCAACACCAGGGGCTTTTTTCACTCTGCACTGGTAGGTGCCACTGTCTGCAGGCCGAACATTTCTTATTTTCATGGATGCATCACCAGACGCGATGTCTTTACTTGTAAAATGTACTCGTCCTTTCAGATCTTGATGGAAGTCAGAATAAATTTTATCTACCGTATACAAAATAACCTGAAAATAGCCAAAACAGAAAAAATAAAAACAAAACCCATTTCATTACAACTCTGCACATACATATCATGCTGCCTGAATCAAAATTAGAAAGATAGGAAGGAAGGAAGGAAGGAAGGAAGGAAGGAAGGAAG